CAGTTCAGTTCACAATTTTTGCATTAAGCGGGGGGACACACATGCGAAATTCGCATTGGTATAACATAGATATATACAACACATATATGTGTTGTATATATCTATGGTATAAGCATATAAGAAAGCGTGGCCGATGAAGTAATCAAGGTGGGCTCAGGTCAGTGATACATGTACATAAACGTGATGTATACATTGTATCACGCAAGCAAGCAAGCAATTATTCTCTCATGACTTTAAATAGTACCCCCTTTTAAATATGGGGAACATGAGTACGCGGAAACATAGGTACCTGGGTATTGGACACATAGGTACCGTGACACATAGGTACCGGGACACATAGGTACCGGAAACATAGGTAGGCGGACACATAGGTACCTGACTGACGGACAATATACGGATCGGGACACATAGGTATGGACCATTTGGAAGTGATATACCATGCATGTATTAGTAACACATTTGATGTTTTAATATTCATCATAATATGTAGTATATTGATGATTTCAATTTCTCTGTGTTTTCTTGAGAAACAGGAGCACGGCAATGTTTTTCCGCTGACAGTGCAGCCCTCTGTGCCGTAACAATGTCACCCGCTGTAATGAATACCCTCTCGGAAGGCACTCCGTGGCTGGAATACACAATACCCCTGCTGCCTAATTGGCTAATATTGGATACTGAAACTGAAACTGAAACTGAAACAGTGGGTGCTCGCTTTCGCTTGTATCGCGCGCGCGCGGGGGCACTCAGGTGAGCATACGCTAATATATAGATCCCTGGTTGCCGTGCTCTCTGCCTCGCTCACACGTCTGCCCCACTCTTCCCGCGCAGGAGTACCGCGCAGTGCTCCATGCAGTGGTCGCTTACCAGTAATACTGTATGCGTCGTGTAGGCATTGTGCTTCGTAATATATACACCGCCAGTGTATAATTTTCGAGCCCATTAACAATATAGACATAAAGGCAAGTGTCAAGTAATTTATTTCTTGTTATACCACCGTATCGTGAAAATATCGATATCCGGAATGTGTCGCGACTATATCGAGTTTTCAAAATAATATGCAATATACGATATACGGTATATCGTTACACCCCTAGTCAGCATGCACAGGATTTTCTGAATTCATTCATAACAACGAATATGATACTGTGCCTCAGCTGCAGCTAAATCATGCACACCATTACAACGCATGGCAACGTCCCTACTCCACCTATTATTTCGATCATTGAATTTCCATTCATTGTTCATTGCTGAAAGGTAAAATTTGACCTTGACTTGACTTTAGTTTAGCTTCTGACCCTGACCTTGAATCAAAAAAATAACGTCAGAAATGGATTCTACGCACCTAAAACCCATATAAAAGATGCATTACACATCATTTTAGGTCAAGTGGTTAAAAAGTTCAATTTTGAAGATGCCGTCCAGCGGCCATTTTGGATTTATGCAAATTACTAGAGTTGCCCAAAGTTGCCATTTGGGCAACCAAGCTGAATTTGTTTTAGGACCCCATATGAGTACAAATCAGCAAAAAAACTTCATAGGAAAGAATATTTCTAGGTTGGGTATTGACTACATACGAATGTCAAATAGACTAATTAGGCTAACAGTCAGAAGGACACCGCAAGGGCATCCTGTACATGGTAAAACACTGCATCTAAATAATATTATATCTAGAATACAAAGTACACAAACGAGTATTTTTCTGTCTATGTATATGATACAAACAGCAAAATCATTTTGGTGACCGTCTTTCACTACCGTGACGTATGATGTAGGCTTGTAAAGACATGGGCGGAACCAAAAATTGACGATGAGGATTCTCTATGTGCGTTTCCCGCTTGCCTTTGCTGCTGTCATGGCTATGCGAGCGCAGTTTAAGGAACTGGCAGATTGCATGTAGCACGTATCGCTCAAAGCTGCTGCCAAGTGTTATCACCATCACTAGATCAGAGCAGCAGGAAAAGAACGAGGTCACCTCTTGCTCCAGATGTGCCAGCATACCTGTGAATAATCAGTAATAAAAACTATAAAATACATTGAACAATCAGATTATGATACAGCCACAACTGCAACCACGACAATGTCTGATACCAGACCTAATAACGAACAAGGTTAGTTTATGTATATACTTCAGTGTGTCAGGCAATTACATCATGCGACACGTGATACACGTGGGCAGTAGGTAGTAGTCAGTCATGTGTGGGTGCAAGGTTTCTTTTTTGGCGAACGAGTACCATGTATTCGTAGTCGAGAGCTGCTGGTCGGTGGGAGTGGAGTGCTGGCATTGACATAAGGTGATGGTCATCAGATGAGACGGTTACAGCCCTATAGACCGAAGGTCCGATAGACTGAAGGCCCGATAGACCAAAGGTTTATTCGAATACGCAGTGGCTACACGTCCGGAATCGGTCGCCTAGCCTCCAGGCTACGCATCCGGACATCCACTGATGCCGTATTCGAACATGAATATGCCGCACATCCACCGATGCCACTATAAATCATATGATGCCACTATATATATGCCCTAACCCTAACCCTAACCCTAACTCTAACCCTAACCCTTTGCAATATTCGGTCTATCGGACCTTCGGTCTATAGGGCTGACCCCAATGAGACTGTGTGTGAGCTTCCTAAGATATGAGTCTCCACGTGAGACACTATGAGTCGTAAAACAAAGGCATAGACTGGCAGGTTAGAGACAGGGTGTCAGATACGCGAGTCGTCCGGTGAGATTCGTACATGGTGGATATAAGGAATGAGTTGCCTTATGAGAAACAGGGTATTTGCTACGTAACGCATATATTTTACATGGTGAGTAATGTGTTGTGGCCATAAGGCATTGGTTGCCAGGCAAGAGACAGGGAGTCAGTTATATGAGGCATGGGTTACCAGGTGAGGTTGCCGTCAATATACGGCATTGATTGGCTTGAAGTCAGAGGCAAAAACAGTGGGTGACCTAATTACCGCTAAGAAAGCAAAACAGAGAGAGTGTGTGGGTTACGATAGGTACGATATCTGTGCTAGGCTTTCATTGTCACAAACTTTGGAGTAAAAAATACACACACACACACACATATATATATATATATATCAAGAGTGGATAAAAGAGATCTCTTTTATCCACTCTTGATATATATATAATACATATATTATATATACATAGTAGTTACTAGTTCAATCAGTGTAAGAGCAATACTGTGCCAGGACAACCAGACTGTCAGTTACACCAGCCATGCCCTAAGTGATGTCCAGGACCAGTCTCCTAAACTGAAAGAGAAATGCTTGCTGTCGTATGGGTAGCTGAGTATTTCCATCTCGTATTCCTCTATGTAATGAAAACCAAAGCCACTGCTAGGAATATTTAAGAGCTAGCCCCCTGCCTCTACCCGAATTTCACGTTGGAGACTGCACCTAATGCTGTACGAGTGGGTCCTCTGCTACCGCTCTGGTAAAGAAGACAACAACCAAGCAGAGTGCAAAAGTTGGCGCCTACCAGACAGCCAACCAAAGACCGAGTGGAAAACTATGCAATTACGTTCTCTCCAACGCAGTAGCAAACGCTTTCGACTGTGAATAAGATCCGCAATGCGACTAAGACAGATTCGCTAGTAAGTGAGTGACCTCATCACTACTATGATCAGGATGGGCATTTGGCATAAACCATCATGCAGTGACCTCTTACGGAAAGGTCAAATGTAAACTGACCAGCTCTGACAGCATAATACTACGAGGAATGCATCTAGTACTGCCTGCTTCACTCCACCAGCAAGCGACAAATCATGCGGCTGTAGGTTGCCAATGCATCGTACACACTAAATGGTCCCTTTTGGAAAAAGTACAGTTCACTGGAACTGACCAACTAGCTAATAACAGTATGCCTGCAAAGCTTGCACAAGTACTAGACACAAGCCAAAGCTAGGCTGCAGCAATGAGTTACCTACAGCAGCATGGAGAGAAGTATCTGGTGACTTTTAGGACTGCTGCCAATGAGCGATCTACTCCCAGTTATAATAGTTGACAGCCGGTTCCTAGAATTATTGCCACTATGTTAGCAAAGACAATCATACCCAAACTATATTCTATACTTGCTTGCCATGGTGTTCCTGTGATGATGAAGTATGACAATGGTGCCCCAGTTGACAGTGACTACCTCACAAACTCTGTAACTAACAAAATATTGGATTTCACTGCACTTTGCCCACAAGGCAATGGTGAAGCGGAACGCTTTATGGCACCTTCGACGAAAAGCACCCGTGCACCACGTTGGAAACAGGACGAAGCAACAACTCTAGTTTCCTTCATCAGCACAGAGCAACCACCCACGCCACCACAGTAGTTTCGTCTGCTGAAATCTTCTGCGGAGAAAGATGAGTATCACAATTCCGGATATATGCCAGTCAGTGTCGGACATGCAGACACTGTGTGCCAAGACAACGATGACATCCAGAAAACATGCAGAGATGTCTAAGTTTGCTGTTGGAGATACTGTGCATGCATGTCATACCAACAAACTTTCTACACCTTTCAATCTGAAACCACTTAACATTTCCAGCTGGAAAGGAAGTATGTGGATTGCCTATTCTGGATAATACAGGGTCACACATGAACTGTCTCATATTTAAATCTATTTGTAATTGAACAGCAACAGATGGCTCGAACAAAGGCAATATTGCTCTGGCCCAACTCAACATGAAAGATGTTGCCCCATCATCGAATGCAGAAATTGACGACACACCTGCTTTACTATAGTGCTCTACAGCAAACCTCCGATCATCTCAAGAACACAGTCCTAAAATCTACAAGAGATCATAAGCTGCCCGTTCGTTTCGAAGACTGGTGGTTCGAAGGTGGTTGTCAACACCATCATAATTACTGAAAAGACCCCTATTGTGAAGATTAGAGTACAGGGAGTGATGTGCTAGGATTCTCCTCTCTTCATTTGTGGTTTGTACAATTAGCAATAAATGATAGCATCTGCAATTTTTAAACTACTGTAAAGAAGGTGTCATTTACACACATATTACAAAGTTCAAGTTGTTGTTTATAAGCTAACTTCAAAATTTATTTCATGAGACAGGCAAATAAATTTTGGATGATTAATGTTTCAATTAAGGTGCAGCCACACGAATTCAAGACATGTTTATGTCTTTGAACCAATGTGATTAGGAAGCAATAGACAGAGCTACTGTTTGAATTTATTGGTTTGTTTTAACATTACCTGCAAAATGCCTAGCACACACGGAAGAATATTCAAGCACTTCTCGCTAGTATCTCACAATCGTAATATCGGCAAACAAAAATTTAAACTTTTTCTTGAATTTTGAGCAATTTTTATCGGCCGATGCAATTTGCTATATTTTCCCCATCTCACCCACCCACAAGCACGCCCTGCATTATCTGTTCATAAGCCCTAGTCACATCCACTTCTGTCTCTAAGTTTCTCTTACTAAGACAATGGGTTCAACCTAGCAACGTACAATATCCCGTTGCGACATGCACATGTACACTTCGAATCTAGCACATTGAAATTTGCATAATTGATAATAGCCAGCTGCATTCGAGCAAACAAAAGCACACTGCCAAGGTATGTAACATCCCCACCATTAACCATTTGTGCTTGTTATCTAAACCTATTACAAAAGGAATTCACCCATGATATATACTCACCAGTTGGAAAGTGTCTGCGTAACACCATAAACTGCAAGCTTCCGTCAAGCCTCTTGAAGCAATCTTGCCCGGTATATGCCAGGCGTTCCGAGCCCTACAGTGACAATCAGAAAATTATCAGCCATCTCTATTTCCCTTTTCTCATCCTGTCAAGATCTACTCTATTTTATCGTGGCTTGTGTAACGTATATGTTGTAGACTGAAATAAACGTCAGTACTGTCTAATAACTGCACCTACCTCTTGTTTCACTGGAGAAATACTGCCGAGAAAGTGATGATCCGAGTACCCACTCTCCAGTATAGTCTGTTGCTCATTCTCACTGCTGTGATATCAAAGTTCATCTTACAATAATAAAAATCTGAAGATCCACCCTTAGTAAATGTAGAAGGTAAAGAAAGGTCAGGCATATCAAATCATATTTAATAGATTAGTGCTGCTATTTAGTTTTAGTGACTGTGCTTAAAATGCATGATACTACATTGGAATATCATACTATCAAGAGTAGATAATAACATATGTGTTTATTCTTGGTACTATTATACCTGATTGATACAAGCACATAAATTGTACAGTAAAATATTCATGCAATGTGCAAAATATTAAAATACACCACCTAGCCACTTTCTAAGGTGGGTGAAACTATAAGAAATGTACGTAGGATGAATTTGGTTAAAATAGGAATATATGAATTAACCTCACATCTCCACCCATATTCTCCATACAACCTTTGTCTCCACCCGCTCTCGTATTGCCAGGGAAACTGACACTTAATTTATTTATATTATCAAGAGCAGATAAAGAAGGTTATCTGCTCTTGATCACCTTCTTTATCTGCTCTTGATATTATGTGCATCGCAAAAAGCGGGGCCTCTTAACAGAACTTTAAATCAATGGTCACATTTTTCTTCAATTAACACATTTTGCTCCATAGAGATTAGTCTTCGATACTAGACCAGTGTATCTCACAGAAATGTGGGGGCTCTAATAGCAAAAGCAGTTCAGTCCTTTGTTAACAGTCAACAAATCCATGTTTAACCCTCCTCTTGAGGGTCAAAAGGTTATCAGACATTTACTCTTCGCACGTCAGCGGAAAGTAGATTTCACGGTCCTTTCAATAAAGTGATAAAAATGGTAGGTCAGCGCTGAAACAAAAAAGTTTTGCACTCGGTCCTCAGAAAATGTCTGATATCTCACCTTTCCCCCCTTTGACCTGTGACCTCCAATTTTGCGCTGGGATGGGTTTCCTCCCCATCACACTATACATCAAATATTAAGAGCGTAGGTCGAGCCGTTGAGATTTGTGCTGCAATTCCGTATTTTCTCCTATACCTTAAGTTAAGGGGGAAATATTCCCCCTCCATTGACACATATTGACCTTTGACACTTGACCCCCAAATTCGACATCCTGAGTCCTTTTCACGATCCCCCCCCCGACGTCCCAAATATCAAGATCGTACGTCGCGTGGTTAAGATTTGTGCCGTAACTGTTGTCGCATGGACGGACGGAACAGACATTTATGCGATTCTACAAGCTGCATCTGACTTCGTCAGCTGAGCTAAAAATAATAGCTGGAGGGTATTTTCTTGCCCGGGCCTTACACAAAACCACATGTGTAACGGCACAGATGTCCCTAGTGTTCTGGTGCCCCATGACTCAACCACCACCCCTTCCAGACATACCTTTAATGAAATTATGTCAATTACTGCAATTCTCGGATCTGTTCTCGTCTAAAAAATTTACATGACATACAGGTTTTTGAACAAACAAATGAAATACGTTGTCAAAAGCCTGATTAATTACCATTTCAAATGTTCATATCTAGTGGTTATATCAAGTGTTTATCTCATTGGGAAAATGGAGTCTGGGGGAAATGGCCAAGCTGGTCAGGTAAATGATTTGAAAAACTGTGTGAAGTAAGGGAATTTTATGCATCTCATGCAAAAAAAACAACATCAGCCACATGTAACATATGGGAATATATGAAGCTGAGTGGTATAAACAAAATAGAGTAATAGATTTGGGAGATACATATGCATGCGCGTGCGTGCGTGCTGCTGCGTGCGCGCGTGCGTGTGCAAGTGCGTGTTGGAGGAATGTGCTGAGAATTAATGTAATTAATGTGTTGCATGAGCTGTACGTATTTCTATTCCCAGACAAAAGATTTCGAATCCATAAAATTGCAAAAGCTTAATACATTTTATTTGCTAACATATGCTGATATACCTGTTGATGAAGTCATTCCATGATTCCATCTTCTCTTTTTCGGCAATGAGTTGAGCAAATGGAGAAATATGGCCAGATATGAAATCGTAGATGTTCACATCACCGTCATCAATTTCCTCAAGATTCAGAAGAAACATCGTATTGTTGTACCTGCATGACCAAATTGCATTTCTATTAAACTTTACATCTTTCTAAACCCACCCATCGAGCAATTGTTTTACATGCATTCTCTGTGAGACGTTTCCAAGCTTCCTAGGACCTCACTAAAGTAACTATGTTTTCATTTATAATCTAAACAAAAATATTTTAGAGCCCTTGGAACCGACTGTATGTTTAGACAAATATTTGTAATCTCATATTATCCGACTATCTTGGATCACACAGTAATGCTTCAAACTCATCTCAAACCTACAGATCACAATGTATTACAAGTTAAATAACCATAGTTCAAATGATATTGATATCTACCGGCGCCCTTTCCGATTGCCCATAGCTTTGCTATCACACAAGCTAGCTTTACTTCCTCCAGTCAACTTGGCGCGAACTCTTCCTTTAACTCGCCGGCGTGGGGTGGCACCCACGAAAGGCCCATTATCCAGTTCCACGGCTTCTAAGTTATTTGCAATATCATTTAGTATATTGAGGTCATTGCCATCCACAAAGAAGTGATCTCTTGGCGCTCCAATAATGCCCATTTTTAACAGGTTGTCGAGGTTAGAGTTCTAGATGTACGGATATGTGTATTGAGAACATCCGACTGAAATTCAAAAGTGGCAACAAATAAGATTAAGACAATTGAAAATTAGCTAACAAGTTCACAACAGATATTTCCATGCATGCTCTACGATTGTATATTTGTTAATAGTGTAACGATACTCAGTGTTACTGCAGAAACTTGATCACACACATACGACGACTGCGCAAAACCTAGAAGTAGGATTTTGATGGCCGTGTAGTGTACGTGTTCAGACTTTTAGTTATCACCAATACACGTGCAGCAACTATAATGCAACAACTCTTGCTACTCTTGTTGGGTTACATTATTATATCTAGTAGGTATGTGCCGTAGTTATGACCCCCTTTTCACACCAAAATGTCTGCATCGGAGACCCCCTTATATTTCGCGTCTCTGCGCATATGTCCTACTTTTTTCCGCATCATGTTCTGGAAACCTCCGCTTTCGCAAGATGTCCAGTTCTGGGGGTGTTACTGTGTGAATAAAACCCGGACCCGGACCCAGACCCGGACCCGGAAAACCTGCATAAAACCCGGACCCGGTAAACCTGCATAAAACCCGGACCCTAACCCTAACCCAATCTACTCCAGTCCGGTTATATATGCAGGTTTTCTGGGTCCAGGTCCGGGTTTTATTCACGCCCCAGTTCTGGAGCATCATACTTTCAAGAGCGTATTAAGAAGGCTTTCTTAATACGCTCTTGATACTTTCCAGTAAACCCTAGTTCCCGAGACCCCCATTTTGATGTGATGTTAGTACTGGAGCCTCCTAATTCCATCTCTCAAGTGGCACATACCTAACCTAATTTTGTAGAGAGTGTCCCAGGGGTGGGCTTCGTAAATATTACTACTAGTACTACTACTAGTACTGCTCATAGGGTCTATGTCCCCCAAGGTGCTGCCGGAACGTACCCTGGGTACGGTCCGGTATACCGGAACGTACCCTG